GAGAGAGAGTCTGTCGTCAAACGATTTTCACGAAATCTATGTATGAGTTTAAACACCAAGAAATCAGTGCTAAATAATAATAATAATAATACTGTAATACCTTTTCCGTTAAGGTTAGAAGACTTAAGGTATTAGAAAATGTTGTTTCTTAAAGTTTTTCTCTCTTTCTTCGCAAACTTATAGTGAGAGCAGTAAAAAAGTTGTTGTCCTCTAAAAAAGTGATAACTAATGGCATTCAAGTATTCAGTGGTTATAATACTTGCCATTAGAAGGTATACGCCTTCCTCTGAGATGCCGAGACTCGCTGTACCGCAGATACCATTGGATTCATTGGAAAAATAGCCTGACGTTTGCCTTTTCACTGCAACTAAAACTATTTTATACTGCATTTTATATGCTTTTTTGTGTGCTTTATATGTTTAATGTCGATATTTTTCAATTCAATTGATTTTCTATTCGTTTGAATAATTAGTTTCTATTATCGTATATTCAATTGAGTAGTGATTTATAACTATATCTATCAGTAATTTAATGGTGTCTGTGATATGGTATTTGTGTATACAATTTAATGTGTAATCAATTGTGAATTGCATAACACAAGTACTATCTCTCCCAGTATTATACATACACTCACTCTCTATACACCTGTGCTATTGTTTGAGGCGTTTTTGCCCCAAACTATACCAACAATTTATACCAATCGCTCACTTGTGCCTCTCATTCAATGCATTTTCTACATCAATACCAATACATTGAGTGACTCTCGAAGTGAATCTCAATTCTTATTGAATACCATTTGTGAATCATATGTAAAAAGTCAGACATCTATCTCATCGTCACCACAGCTGACAAAGCGAAGACATTAGAACAGAGAACGACACCGAAGAGAGACTACCTGTCCATCAATATTGGTGTTAATACTTAAGGGACGGCTCCTATACTCTATAAGCCATTACATTCCCGGATATATAACACTTGTTGGATATATATTTCGCCAGTGGTTTAGGAAATTGGGTTTTGGATAAAAATTGTTTATTTATTTACGAGAAATGAAAATATAAACTCATTTCATGTTTTATAAATGAGAAGAGAAGAAACAAATGTGTTTTGAATCTTAATATTATTTGCTATTTTTGGGGTGTATTTAAAGCCCTTAAAAAATATTTCGTTAACTTATTATTAAGTAATACACGAAAACGAGTGGTGAAAAATCATTCACATTATATATACAGTAATAAAGTGTGACATTTGTTGGCTGAGCTGAAGGTCGACCCTATTCTTGAATACTGGCGCTGATTATCTGGCGTTTAGTTTTAGTTAGTATTTGTATGGCATATATTCATTGAATTGAATTCAATACAAACATTAGCATCAATTGTGCAATCAATGCATCGGTCGTCTCTATCGTCTCCTAACATATCAATCGCTTCATACACTTCACGACAGACTCAACCACTTTTTCTTGAATGAATAACTCTTTGCTTACATTCAATACGATTCTCTACCAACAAATCCGACAAATGGGTAACAAACAGACCACCGCTCATCACAGCCTTAACCCTCCTCATCAACACCGCCGCAGCCATAGTAGTCGTCGCCATAACAATCATATCCTGTCCAACGAGACGAGTCCCGCGTCGGCCATCGTTGTCACCACCACTACCACCCCAGTGGTCGCCCCCGCGGCCACCCCTGTTGTCAATGAATCCCAAAATGATTTGAGACATAATCGCAATAAAAAGTTTGGTAAGAAATTGATTGATCGAGTCGTTGGTTAAGAGGTATTTGTGTGCGAAATAGCGCACAAATAATTGTGTAAAAACTTTTTCTCTCGTGTTATTTTTGGGCACTTGTTTCTCGTGAATTTAAATGGTTTTAATTGTTTTTTATATTTAATTTGTTAAATTCATTGCTGTGTTAAATATTTGATTGTATTTTTTCTGGTTTGTGAGCCATTTTCACTCGTACTAAACATAACATAAATTTCTCTCAATTGAATTAATTATAATATATGTGTGTTTTTCATTGAATTCAAGTGCTCTTAATATTTGGGTCATACGATTGAAAGTTGTTTTTCTCTCTCATACTCTTTACTACATTACTCTCTTGTGTTGAGTTTACAGAGTATTTAATACACGAAAACTTTGTATTTGACGCAAAATTATACCCAAAAAATGTACTAAAATAATGTGTTTTTCTAATGGTTTCAGTGATGGATCGTTTGCGACGAAGTCTTCGCGAGAGTTTTCGCCGCAAGAAAGAGCACATCCCGGAGAGCAGTAAACCACACCAATGGCAGGCCGACGAGGCCGGCGTAAAGGCCGGCACCTGTGTCTTCCCTGTCAAGTACTTGGGATGCGTTGAAGTGTTTGAGTCCAGAGGAATGCAAGTGTGCGAAGAGGCTCTCAAAGTTCTCCGAGTAAGTGGTCGTAGAAGTAGTGATTGTGTTGTCAAATGAGTCGTGACTTACATTCACACCAATCGACTTATAAGATCAGCTCTTTTTGAGAGATTACTCTTTTAAAGTGACAGCGAATTAATGATTGATTTTTTTGTTGCTTTGTGTTTGCTTTAGAGCTCAAGACGACGAGCAGTGAAGGGAACTCTGTTTGTGACGGGCGATGGCCTACGGGTTGTCGACGACGAGACGAAAGTATGTGTTTGTTTTAAGCACACAATTGTTTGGTTTATTACATAATATTTTAATCGCTTTGCAAATGTTTGTTCGCCTTTAGGGTCTAATTGTAGACCAAACCATAGAGAAGGTGTCATTTTGCGCACCCGATCGCAGTCACGAGAGGGGCTTCTCCTACATCTGTAGGGACGGCACGACTCGGCGCTGGATGTGTCACGGATTTAACGCCAGCAAAGACTCCGGTGAACGGCTCAGTCACGCCGTCGGCTGCGCTTTCTCTGTGTGTTTGGAGCGGAAACAGAAGCGCGACAAAGAGACGGTGTCCATGAATTTTGACCCCAAGACGTCGGTATTCACGCGCAACGGTTCGTTCAGACAGTCGTCACTCACGGAACGAATGGTCGACCCGCAGGTGGCAAAACCTACCGGTAAATTAGTGGACACACTCTTGCCTTTTGTCCGACATTATGTCTGATGTTTGTTGTCTACAATCAGATCCGCCGCCAATAAAACAAGTGCACAATCCGTTTGCCGTCGAGAGACCTCACGCCACACCAAACCTCCTGCAAAGGCAGGGCTCACTCCGTGGCGGCGCACTCAACACCGCCTCCCCATTCAAACGGCAGCTATCGTTACGTGTGAATGACTTGCCCTCCAATCAGGAGCGCCAAAGAGCACATTCCGTTGATTTGTCCGCTAATCGATCCACTGGTTTGTACTTCATTTGAAAACTTAATTATACTTTGTATTTATGATTATTATCTTTTCATTAGTGATGCCAATACCAGAGGCGTCGCCAAACGAGCCGTCGGACTCAATCAGCGCTATGTGTCAGGAGTTGGCGAAAGGGCTGACAATACTGAGCAATAATGACGACCCATTCCTCTCCTCCCCGTCATCCGTTGCTTCGCCGACGCAAACACTTTCGGGTATATTTTTAATATTAATTTAAGTGATTTTTTATCAATTTTATTGTTTTTTTATATTAATTACTTTTTATAATATTTATAATAATTATAGAAATAGTGGACAAATGGAGTCCATTAAAGCAAACGAGCCGTCGGACTCAATCAGCGCTATGTGTCAGGAGTTGGCGAAAGGGCTGACAATACTGAGCAATAATGACGACCCATTCCTCTCCTCCCCGTCATCCGTTGCTTCGCCGACGCAAACACTTTCCGTCACAACAAATTCGGGTATATTTTTAATATTAATTTAAGTGATTTTTTATCAATTTTATTGTTTTTTTATATTAATTACTTTTTATAATATTTATAATAATTATAGAAATAGTGGACAAATGGAGTCCATTAAAGCAGTTATCGAACAATACTTACGCCGAGAACTGGATTAACGAGAGCTCGAAAGGCAGTAACAATACGAGTCCCGAGACTATCATCACTCACACGACGACCACAGCGTCCGTCACTACAACAGCAAACCCTTCCATAACAGCGCTGCTGAAGAACGGAACGGACAAACCCCCGGTGGCGGCGCCCCGTCATAACAGCCCAAACCTATCGCACTTACGACAGCACCGGTCGTTTGACGACGGATATAACGGTGGCGTTAAGTACCCGACGACCCGTCCGTACGACGAGGTGTTCAGCCAATACAGCGCCGACCCGTCACCGCCGCCATCGATAGCGAACACCGACGCGGCCAACAATTATCGCAATTTCAACTCTTATATCCATAATAATAACAATAGGAATACATATCAACAGCGAAGTAATTCGGTGTCGGATCCGTTTGACGCCGAGTGGGCAGCTCTGGCCTCCCGTCACCAGCAAACCAATCATCCGAGAAGTACTAATCCATTCACTCAAACGACAGCTCCGGTCAAAGCGTTTGAAGTCCAGATGTAATTATAGATTATTAGTGACCAAAAAACATAATAAAACACAACAAACAAATAATTTAGCGTTAAATCTACAGTTAATTATTGTTATATACTTCTCTCTCTCTCTCTCTCTCTCTCTCTCTCTCTC